TGTCGGGTGCGGGGCGGGGGGGGGATTGTAATTTTGTAAAGGGATTACAAAAATGTACTGAAAATATCCCAACTGTGCTTCTGGTACTTTCTGATTTTGGTCGTGATCAGAAGGCCAAGGAGAGAACTAGAGTTGTGTTGTACTGTCTCTGGCTTCTGCACTTCTTGGTTCTATTCAAAAGCAATTAAACATAAAATAAGGAGTTTTATTTAAAAACAAAACAACAATATACAAAGACAAATGGAAAAAACCCCAATCAAAACATAACAAAACCAACCCCCAAAAACCTACAAACCAACCACTGCCTTGGTCAGTGAGAAGCACTGAGTCTTAAATGATTTCTTGCTCTACTGTGAGTGAAGTATATTCACTAATGGTTGAGAGAAAGAGGAAACAGTCCTAGTATGTATGCAGCAGTCTAGCTGATTGGATTGTGGGAAGGGCAGAGGTGAAGAAGGAAGGCACAGTCTGTTCTTTTCTGATTGATGTTTCAATATGAGAATAGCTGCACTACTATGTGCTTCAATACAAACTTCGAAAATTACTACAGTGAGTCTGAAGGTGGAAAGAAAATAACGAAGGTGGGTATGAAGTCAACAACTTTTATTGTTCAAAACTCTCAACCATCCTAATTTAAATACTTCTGGAAACTTATTTTGGAACTTGTGCCATCATACATTAATAAAGAATAGTATTAAATCTATTTATACATTGGTTCAGAGAATTCTAATAATGTATAATATTTGAATTAAGGTAGGCACTTAGCTTAGAGAAGGACTGCAATTAAAGCCTGTCGGAATAAAGCTGTGTTGTGACAACAGATCTTTTATGTAACTGAAAATGTAATTTTAATGGAAGTATTAAGATCTGTTAGAAATTAAGTATTATAGAAGCAGAAAGTCTTTCTTGTAATTATTTTGCCTTTTGTGTAAGCTATTTCTTCTAAATGTAATGTAAATTTATTCCCAGATTTCCATTCACCCCCAGAAGAAAATGAAGATCCTTACAATCTTGATGATTCTCCAGACAATTTGGATTATGTTATCAAGATGAAAGGTGGCATTCCCTTTGTTTATGATAACAAAGAAATGATGGAACTCAATGAACCTCGGAGTCTGCCATATCCTGACCTGGAGACCTATACCGTTGACCTGAGCCACGTTCTTGCTCTAATTGCAGATGGTCCAACGTATGTTTCTCTCTTTCTTCTATGCCCCTTCAGCCTGTTGCTTACCTTTAGTTTAATAGTTCTCACTTTTGTAATACTCAATTTCTCAATGTACTCATTCTACAGTATTGTTTTGTTTTGCCCTTCTTAAACATTAACACATCATGGAAAGACTTAAAAGGGGGAAAAACCCCCAATACATATGGCTGTATTTCATTTCTTTAGTTTCTTTGCATCAACCATGGCAAAATGAGAAGCAGTTAACAGAAAAGCAAGAAATTGGCCAAATGTTCCAATTCAAGCCAGATCTGACCCAAACTTCTTGAGGCATGGGAACTGAAGCTTGAACCTCACCTTCTTTATTTTGTTTTGGCCTATGCTGAATGTGAGGTATTTGAACAGTTGTCTGGAATTCCTTCATGTCTGTTCTACTCTTGCTGCACGAAGAGAGACCCTGCATGTGTAGACTATACAGAAAAGCTCAGCAACATAACTATTCAGTTTGATTTGTTCCAGATGTGAATGAACTCATGTGCAGCAAAACTGATCCATGCATGCACAATCAAAATAGGTCTGAAACTCAAACTCTAAAATGTCTAAAAACCAGAAATATAACAACTCTAGTACAGTCGCTGACACATTTATAACAAACCAATGTCCCTGTCCAGTGCATAACGAAAATACATGCATGCAGTTTTTAAGTTTACTTCCCAGCTGAGGACTGGAAACATCAAGGTTTCTCACAGCCTCAACACCAGGAAAGGAGAAGAATACACTCTAGGATGGAACAAAGCAGGAACCTGGACTTTCTTCTGAACTATTTGCCCTGCCTGCCAGCACTCTATTCCTAGTCCTTCTGCCTTTGAGATCATCACTTACAACGTGACAAGTTAGTCACACCTGATGCATTCTTTCCTCTTTGAGTGTGTGTCTGACACCTGCAGCATAGTCTGCCTTGGGCATTGAGACTGGCAAAGCAGGTGGGCTGAACAAATCTATCCCATTCCGTAAGCACTTTTTCAAGAGCAAAAGCCTGCAGTGTGGTTGTTTACCCCCAGCCGGCAGTTAAGCCCCGCGCAGCCGCTCGCTTGCTCCCCCCTAGTGGGATGGGGGAGAGAATCAGAAGGGTAAAAGTGAGAAAACTCGTGGGTTGAGGTAAAGACAGTTTAAGAGGTAAAGCAAAAGCCGCACACACAAGCAAAGCAAAACAAGGAATTAATTCACCACTTCCCATGGGCAGGCAGGTGTTCAGCCATCTCCAGGAAAGCAGGGCTCCATCACATGTAACGGTTACTTGGGAAGACGAACGCCATCAGTCCGAATGTACCCCCCTTCCTCCTTCTTCCCCCAGCTTTATAAGCTGAGGATGACGTCACATGGTATGTAATATCCCTTGGGTCATTGGGGTCAGCTGTCCCGGCTGTGTCCCCTCCTACCTCCTTGTGCACCCCCAACCTCCTCACTGGTGGGGTGGGGTGAGGAGCAGAAAAGGCCTTGACTCTGTGTAAGCCCTGCTCAGGGGTAACTGAAACATCCCTGTGTTAGCAACACAGTTTCCAGCACAAATGCAAAATGTATACCCATACAAGCTACGATAAAGAAAATTAACTATCCCTGCCAAAATCAGCACAAGCCTTATCAGCACTCCTGCTCCAAATCAAAGCTAGCTTGAGTATGCTTGTTTACAGTATGCAATGGGTAAACACATTTCTAGTTTCAGTGTGTTATTTTCCAAGAGACAGATATTGAGAAGATCAAAGGAAAAGGAGGAAGAACTTGAAACAAAAGTCATACTGAAGACTTTCTTTTTGCAGCTTTTGCTAACAGTCTTTATTAGGAAGCCATAAGTAATAAGCGCCTTGGTAGGACACGTTAGAACACTCACCACCTTTGTGAATGTAGGAGCAATCATCTGCCCCTTTCACTTCTTCAGATGAAGCTTTTGCAGGCTGATTCACACTCCTGATAAATACACACAAACCAAAAGGAAAAAGTCTTTTTAGTAATCCTGTTGCATAAGCTGTTCATAGGGTATTGTTTCCCTGTTTGCAGCAAGCGCTTTGCTGTCATTTATGTCTATCACACACGGGGCTGTCTGGAGATCAAGAACCCACTGTTCTTTAATCTTTGCTGTTCTTTAAACTGGTGAAATCTTCCCCCTACTCTTCAGTCTTCAGATCTCTTGAATAATGGTATAACCCAACAAAGACTTTCTGCAGCAGGCAAACAGGTCTTAATCAGCATCAGACACAGTGAGACTGTGTTTGAATTGGACTTTCAAATCCATAATGGGATTTGTGGCCCATTAAGGAGAGATTGTCAACAATAAAGCAGAAGAAAGAAGGCTATTACATTAATAGTGCTACAAAAATATTGTAGATTCAATAAGAATTGACAGATGGTGAAGAGAAAAACCATGTTATTGGTTAAAAACAGAATGAGAAACATAACAGAAGATGAAAGTGAAGACAGAGGAGTAGGCAAGCGGGAACAAAAAAGCATGATTTTTCTAAGAAAAGCACAAGAAATTATTTTGGAAAAAAGTATTTCTACACAATATGTGTTTTTAAGGCATAAAAAATGAAAGTATATTGGATCTTATCTTGGCTTATCTCTTATATTTACATTGAAAAAGCAAATAAACTCGGGGGAATTTTAAAAAAACTTATTTCCATAGTGAGTAAGTCTGGATTATAGGTTGTTTCTGTTATATATGAGGTCACCTGCTCTACTGGAGGTATAGTTTCAGAGTAGTAGCAATTGACTTCACATTTTATTACAGATTATATGCTTTCTTTGGTCATCCTTACTAAAAGAACTGCAGTTTATGCACAGATACAGCGATAACAATACTTGGACTACTTAAAGGATATCACACAGTTATGTAGAGTTCTGTTTGAGGTTTCACTAATAACTTTGGTCTGAAATCATATTGGATATTGACTTATATATTTGCTAACCAGTAGGATAAGAAGAATGGATTTGTCTTAGTCTTCATAAAAAATAAATTGTTTTTACTGTGAAAGCTTCCAAGTTCTTTCTGAACTTGAAAGTTAATTCTTGTGTTTTCTTTTACAGAAAAACATATTGTCATCGGAGGCTTAACTTTTTAGAATCTAAATTTAGTTTACATGAGATGTTAAATGAAATGTCGGAATTTAAAGAACTAAAGAGTAATCCCCATCGAGACTTTTATAATGTGAGAAAGGTAAGTGTGAAAAGGATTAAAGGCATGATGTTGATTTTTAGTAGGAGTTCCAGCAATTCTGCTTTCTTGTGTGAGGTGTATATGATATGCATGAAGTGGTATGTGCCTACCACTCAATTGAATTACATTATTTTAAGAATATTAAATTTTTTCTACATGGGAACACTCCAGGAAAATTAATTTGAATGTAAGTGGGTTAAATGGATTATGCTAAATTTATCATTTACTTATTCCGAATCAAAGGGGCTTAATTGTATGTAGATCGCTTTAAAGGAGTGAAACAGAGTTAATCAAATGAAGCTCACTTGGATTGTGAATAAAAATATCCACATGGAGGTTTAATTTGTTTTAATTAATTCACTTCGAGACAGTCAAGTGCGTTTTCCTGCTTTGATGTAGGTGAGTCATACTAGACTGTAGTAGCAACAGCTGTACAGATTTTGGATAAAAATTTCACATCGTATTGAAAATAGGTGTTTAAATACATGTCAAAAGAAAAAAGTCCTCCCACAGAAACTGAACAGAGGGTTCATGCCGTCATTGGTATCTGTGAAAAATGTCTGTAAAATATTAAGTAAAAAGATTGTTATTTGAGTTATACTCTTAGCTGCCTCTGAGATACTCTGGGATGTAATTAGAAGACAGGTAGGGAGCTGATTTCATTTCCTGACATATTGACACCCAAGGGAGCTGCATTCTCTTCAAAGCGTGGAAGCAATAGTGTTATGCTGCTTCGTTTGCTTCCCTTTTCTGAAGTTGAGAGGAAGTTACTGGAGAGATAATGCTCCAGTTTGATAAGTGAGATATCTTCACAAAGCAGTAATTTTTGCTGGTGTTTTTAACCACTTCAGGTCCATTTAGCATTGTTTCTATATGCAACTGGAAGAGGTAGTCCTTATTTTGTAACTTCAGGGTTTAGATCAGTACTTTAATCCTTCTTGTTATGTTTTGGTTAGTGGTAGTACATGAAAAAGTAATTTTGGTTTTCCCCTGCAGTGTCTAGTTTGCTGGCTACTGAATGTTTGCTACTGTTGTTGTAATAAACAAAATCTGCTACACAGAAGTGTTTGATGAATGTACTCCTGCCTATCACAAGGCTAGAAGCAGATGGGTTGTTACGTAAATTCTAATGAATTTCACACTTTCATCTGTTAAGCGTATGGATGGGAGGATCTGTTAGCTAATTCATTCAAGCAGGACTCAAGTGGCAGAGGCTCGACTCATAACTTGACAGTTTCCTTGCATAACCCTGGACAAGATATGTACTCCATGCCACATTCACATAAAACACTTCACTAGCTGACAGAGACATTAATAATAAAACACATGGTGACTGAGAGGTGCAAAGGAGAGATGTGTGGATCGAGTAAATGCCTAGACAATCAGTTTGATTTCTGAGAAGCTGTAATTAACAGGATTGTACTTGCTAAGTTCAGCTTTTGATTTAAAAGCAAATGTTCAATGTCTCTGGGCATATCTTAATTATTTTCTAATTATCTGCTATTAAATAAGCCAGTCTACAAATAGATTCATGTTGTTCAAAAGCACAAAATGTGCATCACTTTCCCTCTGGCAATACTGAAATTCAAGAGAGCAGGAACAAGCTTGCTCTTCTCTGGCAGAGATCATTCCTACTGCTAGTTATTGCTTTAAAAATGCTTGCTGCACAGAGTCAATCTAGCTTAAAGAAGTATTTTATGACACTAGGTTACAAGTAGTATTTTTATGACGCACTCTCTATGGAAAGTAAACTGCATTGTAGATGGAGTTACTATAAGCCCTCAAATAATCTTGTTTTCCCTATGTCTTGCTAACCCAAGTAATGTTTGGATCTGTAACTTCCCAGCAGTGCTTCCTCTTTAATAACAGTATCAGCAGTGAAACTTACAGTATGAAACAGACACTTCCAGGGTCTGTATTTTCAGGATGTCTCTGTTAGTCAATCCTAAACAATGGGTACTGCTCATAAGGAAAGCAAGAAATAAGATTCACTTCCCAAAAGAGCTGTAGTGAAATTATTACGTCTCTCAGACACTAGCGTGGAGATCCTGGTACTATCTGTTTGCTTATATAAAAGAGCCAAAGTAACTGATGGAAAATGCCAAAATTAAAACAGTTATGAACGTAGCGGCAAGGTCAATCAGTGAACATGTATTACTGCATTTAGAAAGGTACAGTAGAAAGCTGGCCAGCTTTACTTGCTGGCATGACAAAGGCTACTGGTTTTTTTTCCCCTTCTTCCCACCCCCTTCCCTGCTTTTTTCCCTGGTTTAATAGGAGTTCTCCTCCAGTGAGCTCATCTATTTAATAAATCCCAAGATAAGGTTCCTATTAAATAAGGGAAGTGTATGTTTATATCTTACATATTGGACTTAATCAGAATGCAACCAAAGGTATGTTTTGCAGTGATCACGCTGGAACTGGAAAATTGCCCTTTAATAACCAGACAAATATTTCCTCTAGACAGACAAGAATCCACAGGTGGTAAGACAGTGTGGCTGGCTCTACTTGGCTCCCCGCAGGAGGTGGACAACTGCCTGTATAGGAGAATGCTAACTTTAGAGGAGACTCTTGAGTCTGCCATCAGCAGGGTTCTCCCACGTTCTCCAGCTGATGCATAGCAAAGTGTATTCAACACAGATTCTCCACATAACTCCTGGATTGTCTGCATTAAGGATGAAATTAAGTAATAAGAGTTTAGTTCTGCATACAGCACACAAACTCAGAACCAAGTTTTAGCCTTTGTGTACTAGGCTGTCTTGCCTTCCAAAGCAAGTGTGTGAGCAGGGCTTCCAATAGACCACTGTGCCCATCAGCCTCAGATAATTCAGAGCTGATAGTTCAGTTTTTTAGCTGAAATACACCTTCAAAGTAAAGAACCTACACCTGAACATTACTTTGCTTTTATTAAAACATTGCTAATTGCAGGAGGCATTTAATGTGCTTTCTTGGACTGGGAGTGTTCTTGTTATTACGAGCTTTGGTTTGTCTCTGTTGCTCCTTCTAGGGGGAAGGTTGTTGCCTGTTTTTTTAAAGGTGAAGCCAAGATACTTGTTTACCTAACATGTATTTGCTACCTTTATGACATATATCTATGTACTGCATTGGTAGGTGTCCTTCACTGCAAATAGCTTTGACAGAGTTTTCTAAAGATGAAAAATGACAGCCTAAGCTTCCTTCAATATTCTTTCTGTCTTTATTTCACATTATTTCAGTGTGTCAGCAAACCAAACCCGAGGATATGTCACAGCAGTGACTTTTACACATCACACTGTTCTGCCTGCAGACTCACTAGCTCAGGTGCCCAGCCTCGTGTGGCAGCAGAGCTTTGGCTCAGGCCACAGTAACTGCAGGGAAAAACGCAGTTTCTAGAGTGGCTTACACAGCCCTACTGAATTTTGTGTTGCAATAACTGGTTGCTGCTGTGACATATCATTTGGTCTAGATTGTTGCAACAGATTTTTTTTTTTAAAGTATTGGTTAGATAAAAAGGAAGTAAATTCTACCTTTTGTTTGTGACCACAGGGTTGAAATACCACTTATTCCTTCTAAGGGAGGAAGTTAGAGTGGGTTTATATACATCTAAATTCTATAGATCTCACAAAATACCAAATTAAATTAACAGATGTCTGCTTTTTAAATGTATGATTAAAAGCCTCATGAGTGAACAGTGAATCTGTACCTTAACTTCCCTGAACTTTGATTCATTCTGAGGTTGTTTCTTCCCT